GTTTTTTTCAGCAGAATTAATTTTGCAATGCATTTTTCTGCAGAATTAGAAATCTGGCAGAGAAATAATTTTTAGACAAGAAACTTATATGATTCAACACCCCACTCCCTAAGTCATGATTAATGATATCTTTCACACCATACACATTGTAAAAAGGTAGGTTTCACCAGCAGGGCAACAGAAAAGTAAAAAAAAAAAAAAAAAAAAAAAAAAACAACAAACAAAACCCAAAACCAAATCAATAGCTTAGTTAAAAGTTAGGGGAATTAAAAAAAATTAAGAAATTTTCTTGATATTCTATCTTCAAAATTCATATTTTAAAAAATGAAATCAAGATTTCTGACTTGCCATCATGGTGTATATCACAATATATCTTAGACACGAGAACCTGCACACAAGACCTATTAATTCTCTAATATCTGGTTATGCATTGCCTTTTGCTGTCCTACCTGTCCCCTATCACTAATATGCCTACATTATGCGCACATCCCTTTGCTTTTCTGTCCCCATTTTTTTACAACACATAAACTGTTGCATTTTAATACAATACCAAAAAAAATGTAAGCATGATTCTAACCAGTGAAAGGCTGTAGCTACAGATAAGCAAATGCTCTTATTTGATATCAACAATGCTGAGTGTCTGTACACAAGACTCTTCTCTCCTACATCTTTTTCATGTGTGCAGTATATATGTGATCATTACAGCCATCTTATGCTAAAATTCTATGTTTGGGAACTTCATAAGGTTCATCTTTGCTAATTATCACTGTTACTTTACATGTCTGTATAAACAATGGGATTCTGGAGTACTTATAAGCTATATGAAATCAAACTCATTGCTCATTACTATACTGACTATATTGCAATTTTATATAAATAGAGCCATTTTACTGATAATTGTTCTCTGCCAGATTTCTCCTAACCTTTAAACTGAAAAGAAATGAAATCCACATTCATTTGTCTAAATGATGTCATGTGCCAAGTGTAATTACTTCTAGAGCAGGTCATCTATGTCTAGAGAAAGTTTATTTCTTCAAAATGTTGAGATGAAATTACACTGCACCATTGAACCTGACTTATTAAACAGAAATAGGCCAGAGGACAGCTACTTGATGCAAGATATGTTGTATATTATGAATGTCAAAGTATGCGATGCTGGCAAAACGTCTTCTGCTCTGTAGTCAAAGAGCAAATAAAGGCATTGTTAATGTGAGAAAGCAAGCTATACACGATTTTAAATTACTTTGTTGTCAGCTTTCCCATATAATTATGTAGCCCTAGAAACTGCAAAAAAAGTAATCAAAACATTTACACAGAATTGGAACTGTGGATTACTAGAAAACAAGTTTTATCAGCAAGAAAGTGGCTGAAGGATTTTAGAGAGGTTTATCTCTCCTCAAGCTGTGTCTCATGCACACCAAGAAGAACAGATGTCAAACTCCCAAGAAAACATAGGAAACAATTTTTTTAATCATATTTCCATACCTCTATTTTTTAGTAGATATTCTAAGTCATTCATCTGTTCGCATAGCTGCTAAAGAGTCCCATGCCTTCTCTAACCTGCACGTTTGTCAGACTCCCCAGGGGAGGACAGAAAACTTTAAATATAGTTCCCTATATTTAAACCTAAATAATGCAAGGAAAGTTTATCCATTTTGGTTACAAAAATATATGACATGAGTAATAAGATCAAACTGCTGCACAGAAACTGTTCCTGTGGATATCAGTGAGACGTGCATGTACATAACAGCTGCAGAAATAGATTCCTTTTGCAAATCTGGATAATTTATATTCCCATAATTACTATGGCATCTGATTACATCAGTTCTAAATTCTTTTCATTTCTAAGGACGTGACGGACAGTGAAATTCCTCTGTCAGTTTGGTCTATTCATTTTCTGTAAACAAGATCTGCTTTCAGAGTTCTTGGATGAATGTCAAGTTACCTAATAGCAGTACACCATGGAGTAACGCATTTACCTGCATCTACCCTGGAAGCATTGATTTATTCCGCTTTGGTTTCCTTTGGTAAATTAAGTTTTTGGAATGCTTTTCTTCAAGACACTGTTGACTTTTAAAATTTCTAATTACAACGAAAGCGTGAAAAACTTCTTATGTAAGTATATGCTGCTGTTGATCTTTTAACTGTATTTATTTTTGGCTTTAGAGATCTGCAAGAATTTTGCTTAAAATAAATTAACTGATTAGCGAGTACATTGACAAGCTATTACAACCTTATTTATTATTAGAAAGGAAAAATTTGATACTTTTTTAATTTAAATGTTTGATGGCTGGATAGAACTGTGAGCAATTCTTTTGTAAAAGGTAAACACAAGGTTTTGTTATAACAATGCTATGGCCATGGTGACATACTGAGAGGAGCTGATGTAAGACTCCTACAAACCTCTTTCTGCAGCCATCAAAAACTTGAAAATTTTAATGTACTAAACAAACAGAAGTTAGGAAACGCCTGGGATATGAATATATAGAGTAGATATATACTATATATATGCACTATATATATATTACAGTATAAAAGATTAATTTAAGCTGGTGAATCTGCAGAACTTCCTCTGGCATGACATTTTTTTGTCCCCAGAACCCCCCTACTTTGTCAGCAATATTTAAGTTAAGAAAGTTGAAAAAAATTACTTTGATCCTAGTGGTAAGAAAAAACCCCTAATCTTACTACTTAGTTTTGCTGAAATAAACTAGTCACAGCATTATACATTTCAGAGTGACTTGCTAGGAACAGGCCAAGGCACATCAGGAACCTCCTGAACTTGACAAGGTTTCCACGGACTTGCTAAATTTTTGAAGACATGTAAGCTTCATTATCCACAACAGGCGTAGCTACAAACTGCATTCGGATTTATTTTGAACCTGCCTTCTGCCAGTTTCATCTGTTCTTGCATTGTTAAAGCCACTGCACAGTCTCATCCACATTCGCAGTGCCACTTTGGGCTTGACAGACCTTTCTCATACCATACTTAATTTTTTCTTGTATTTCACCATCTGTTATATGGAAGATATTCCATGCTTACAGTCATGCCTTCTGCCTTTCTCTGAATCTTTCCATTTCAACTGGAGTTTCCAACCTCTCTGAGGAGAAGCAGAACTGTGTGTCATATTTAAATACAGGCAAGGGATAGATTTATGCAAGAACAAATGATATTGTTCTGTTTTGTATTCCTTTCCAAATAATTCTTAAAAACACTTTCCTTGTTCAACTGATAATGAAGACTGAATTGTTATTTTCATTAAATTACCTATTACTACAGTAAGTTCTTACTCCAGACCAGTAACGGTCTATTTAGACCTATAACTTCATATGTAAAGCTATTGTTTTCTCCATATGCATTTTTTACACTAATTTGTAATGAGTTTCATCTGCCATTTTCAGTCCAGTCACTCAGACTGGTAAGGTTTTTATGCATTTCTAAGACCAACTTTCACCTTTATACTGTGAATAAATTAGTACTATTAACAGGCTTTCTCATCACACTGCTCACCCTCTTCTCCAGCTCATTTGTAAGTATGTCGAATGCCACAGTCCCAGCAGAGATCCTTGCACTTTTCTGCTATCTTTAGCCTTTGGGAAAACTAATAATTTATTCTTAATCTCTGTTTCTTGACTCTGAACTAATTACTGATCCACCATTTTTGTGTTCCGTATTCCACATTCTAAGAAACAATTAGTTTCCTTAGAAACTTCTAGTGAAAGACCTTGTCAAAAGTCTTTGGCAACACAGGCAGGCTTTACCAGCTGCACCATGTTTGTGATCCCTTCAGAGAGATTCAACAGGTTTACAAGGCAAGACATTGCTATAAAACCATATTCATTTTTCCAAGGTAAATCATACACATTCAAGTGTCCCATAATTCAGTAATTACTTTATTGTAATTTCCTAATTTTGACAGTACGCATCTATGGTCTGTTGGTACGTTAAACCCTTTTAAGAAAAATGATATGCCATTTTCTACTCTCTAATTACCAGTTAACTAGAAAGCTTAAAGTGAAAGGTTTCATATCACTGATAGTGCTTAACCTTTTTGTTCTTAAGCTCCTTAAAACTCAGAGTGGATATAATATGGTGTTGGTGACTGCTAAATGTTCACTGGACTGTTTTTCATAATCTCTTTTATAAATGCTTTGAGATAAATCCTCCAATGGGTCCTGCAAAAAAAAATTCTGGCATGGGAACGACCCCAGTTCCTTCTATAGCTAAATTCATCCATGGTGAAGCAAAAGGAGAAGTTAATGGACAGTTTTGGGCTACCAGTGTTTATCTAAATGAATTTTTGTTTCTATTTTCAAGCAAAATTGCAAGTTGTTCATTCACAATTTTTAAAACCTATCAGTTGGGTAGTTTGGAAGAAAATCAGTTACCAATTCAGTTACTTTGCAGAAATGATTTCTTGCAGTCAACAACTCCATAATACAGTTAGTAGCCAAGTTGACAAGAAGCCAACAGGAGTCCTTGGAACAGTGGTACTTATTCAGAAGCAGCTTAGCTCCAGAAATACATTGTTTATTCCTAAGATTAACTTGTCATTGAAACTGCCTAAACAGCACACCAACAAAGGTATATTTCTACCATCTTTTGATCCAGAAATTAAGGCTAACATATAATAACATTTTTGTTCCCTGAAAAAAAGTATCGGAAAAGTGAAGGTATTACATCCTCATTTACAAATAACCAATCTGTTTTTATGAGTTCATGACAACACTGAAGAGTTTTTCACCATGCTAGGCCTTCACCATACGTCTCTATTTAATCCATTTCCTCGACAGACAAGGAAGTCTGAGGCAGTTTTAATTGACTCAGAGATGTTACACTTCAATTTCCCATATGTGCCACTCACCTCTCGACTGTCTCCCTCTTTGAATATCAATCTTCCTGGGAGAATGGAATGTTTCTGTGCTGTTTGTAGTGCTATTGCCCGCTAAACAGACGCTTGGGAGGTCACAGTTTGGGAATGGAGGACAAGGACTCTTACCTGCTGCTTTGGCAACATCTGCAGTTGAAATGTTTTGGAGGTTTGAGTGCACTCTGAAGGTCACAGCTGGTCCCAGCACGCTGGAAGAGATTATTAAAAAAACTAAGATTCATAATCAAGAGACATGGCATAATATTGCTTATCAAATAGGTTTTTAAGGAGAAACTATTAAGACACCATTTAGCTCTCTTCCTTTTGCTTCATTAGCTACATTTGCATACATTTTTATACCTCTTGTGGTTTCTTGTGTGTATCTTGTGCCTGTCTGAAAGAATTTCAACGACATTAACTAAACTTCAGAACACTCCTGTAAATACTATTCCTATTATGAAAATGGCAAAATGGAGGCACTGAAATTGTTATTCTCCCAAGTACAGCATAAACCATCACTGGAAATCAGCATCCAAAGAAGATTACATGTAGTTTCAAATTTCATATGCCTAACTTCTATACAAGCTTAGTCCTGTTGTCATGACTGTAAGTCAGAGGGACAATAAAGAAACTTGGAATATTTAGCTTGATCATATTCTACAAGAACATGCGTGGGGAAAAGATTTTGGACATATCTGATCCAATGGCTGATTTTGACCAGAAAGATACCACAAAGTATTTATCTTTCAACAACAGAGGTAGTCACCTCTTTGAATAACTTATGAAGGGAAATGACTGACTCTGTGGTGACCTTTTGGGTGTAGTCTGATGGTCCTTTCTGGTATTAAAATCTATGAGGCATTTACAGAGGAAGGTACTGATTAGCCAGATGAAGAACAGTAGAGTTAAGTATTCAGGGTTTCACAAAAATTTTTCATTGTACATTTTTAAATAAAAATAAATCTGTATATGTAAAGTTGCATTCATTCTCCATCCATTCCAATAATAACCAATTTACATGTACATTTGATGAAAGGAATAAAGAAATTTCAGTTCTGATATCCTTAAAACTATACTAAAGTACATATATATGAAAAACATAAGAAAAATACACACACACAAATATAGTAAATGTACTTTTGAAGAAAATTTCCAGGTACCAAGAGATTGTAGATACTATAATGCAATAATTTACAGAGGAGAAGAGCGCAAGGGCTCAACAAAGGCGTATATTGGCACTATTATAAAAGTTAACTTACATACTATGTAGTATATGAGTTCCTAGATTTTTATTATTCATACAACCAGTGAGAAGAATTACATTTATAGTATGAATAACAACCCTGCTTAAATGGTAAAGTACACTGGCTGGAACCATACATGTGACATGCTTTGATCTTCTATAGCTGTGGCTTATGAGAGAATGAAGTCTGAAAAACTGCTGCATAAAAAAAATAACTTGAAAAATATTTTTGTTGCAGGGCTTGAAATGAAGTATTAAATTATTCTTTTACTAACATGTTAATAATTTGCATTCATACAACAGAAAGCACTTTATGAAGTGTGCTTAATTGCATCACCTATATCCCAGACAGAAATACCTTTAAACTTTTTCCATTTCAGGAAGAAAAAAACTATTATTGACCATAAAACTTTGGTTTGAAGTCACAAAGGGAATCAGAGTAAGACTAAGAAACATCCTTTCAATCTTTTACTAGCAAAGGATGCACTGTGCACATTTCATTCTGGAGTTAATAGGAACTGTCATTAATCAATCATTTTTCTCTAAATACTCGGGGGGGGGAGGGAGAAAACAGAGATTTTATTGCTAAAGGACACTCCAGATGCCAAGTCATTAATGTACTAGAAATGTATTTTAATAATGTTAGGTAATTACAAAGCATTTATCAGCATCATTTAAATAATATTTTACATTGTAATACTGAACTATTGCAAAGTATATTTTATTTAACTGCTTTACAAAAATTCAGGCCATTCTCCAATTCTGTCACTAATGCTGAGATTATCAACCATAAAAGGCACCTGGGAGTTTCATGATACCATACACTGAATATAAGTAATCTTGCACTGTCCTTCTTTGTGCATTGCCAGCCTAAGAGAAATGATGATTCCTCTCTGGCTGCTCAGACATTTACAGTGTAATTAGAAGTCTACTTTAAATAGAAGCAGGCACCAACCTGGTATATAGCAGTCCCATGACAAAGATAGGGTGAAAAAAAATAACTTTAGATACTCCCCCCAAATCATATGGTTCATTATAGCTGAGAAACTGGAACCAATGCAAACTTTCAAGCACAGTGTAGTTACACTTCGGCTTTATCAGCAAAGGCATAAAAAGTTTCCTCCCCTCCTTCCCTTGCCTGAGCTTTTTTGCTCCTGTCTCTGGCCCAGAGCTCACTGCCCCCTCAACTATCCTCCTGCCCCACTCACTGCAGCTATGCACTTCATGGCATCAGTAAAACCACAGAGATTAAAACTGGATCATTTCAGTGATCCAGCCCAGGCAGTGAAAGGCAGGGACTTCAGAGGAGCGAAGCCTGGCAGGGATCATCGCACCATTCTCTAGTGACTCCACCTGGATAATCCAGGAACACGACAGGATCCGAGTGGTGCCCATGTATGCATTGCCACAAGCACTGTCATTTCTCCTCGCTGCTGCTGAGAAAATGTAGGGA